GAAATAGTTATTGCTTCACTACATTGTGGTGCTAAGCCGCGGCTGAAACTCTGATGGACCATCATTCAGTGGTGAATAGAGTTGTTATAGAGTTGTTTAAAAACATTTCATGCTGTGATTATACCGCAGTATTGCCTGTTGATACTAAGTTGACATTCAGCTTTAACTTTTTGGGGGTTTCGAAACAAAAAAAAAAATATTGCTCAGAATATACAATGACCCGATAATACGCCATTATTTCTTTTACTGAGTCCTGAATCGGTTACAAACACTCATCAAGTACAACTGTGACAACCCGATCTCTATTATTCGCACCTCGAAAATAGCGCTGGATTTCTCAGATGCTCATAGATCGACGAAGTGCTTTAAATTTAAGGTACGTCTACCGAAATCATTCAGTTAGGTAAGGCAAATCTGGGAAGTAGAGAAGAAAGATTAAATGATTCTTCCTCGCCTTCTTCAATACAGTTTTGACCAACAATCTGGCAAAATATTTAGCCGCACTTTGTGTGAGCTAATTGGACAATGACACCCACAATTATAGCTGGATTGACTTTGCTAAGAGCAAGCAGAGGACAAGTAAGCCTGAAGGATCTCACAACCGCACAATTTCTAATTATTGACCGGTGCTCACAGAGCTCAAGGTCCAAAGAGCCAACGTAGAAGTACATCTACACACTACACTACAGTGGTCTGGTAGTGTGAAGTTATAGTTAAAAGAGAGCTTCTGATAGAAGTCTACAACTCCTACCCTCCACCTTAGCTTCGATACATCCGTGAACAAGCACACAGAATCTTTACTCCAGCGGGTTTGACGAATACGGCAGTAGATGGAACTATGAGCTGTACGAAATAGTACGAAATAGCTCTGTGAGTATTCGACGCAGTACCCGCCGATGATAGTAGAGGAAGAAGAAGACCTCCACTCCGTTGGAAAAACCAGGTGGAGAAAGACCTGTCTGCATTTGGAACCTTCATTTGGCACAAAAGAGCGAAAAGGAAGAACGACTGGCGCTCTGGAGGAGTTTACGACAACGCCAATAAAGAATAGGAATCAAAGAATCTCATGCAAGATGACATGTGTTATATGCTTTTATTCCAATAGAATGTCAAAGCTTTTTGGTTTTGCCCTGTACTACGAAATAAATATTGAACACTCATGCTAGGTGAAGTATGAGATACAATAAAATCACTATTATTTAAGCGGTATTTACACAAAAAAAAAAAAAAAAAAAAACCGTTAAAGAATGAACGAAAATATTTGTTTCTCCATTTGCCGACCGTACTTGGAATTTAAAAATCTCAGCTTGACTGCAACTTTCGCACTTCGGCACTTAAAATCCGCAAAATTTCTGTGGTGACTGCTGACTTCGGGCTGCTGGTTGTGTCATACACTTTACATACAGCTGCCGCACGAAATATGTGGCAAACATATGTACTATATTTGCTGCTAATTTTTCCTTCTGATTATTTTTCCATTTATTTCCGCTGCATTTCTTATTTTCTTTTTCATTGCTTATAATTTCCTTTCTCCGTTTCGTAGCCTTAATTTCACTTTATTTATTTTATTACATTTGCTACGCCGCTTTCCCCAACTACCTTCTAGCCTATACCATAGATTAAGTCCTAATGTATGTTGCATGCTTAGCCGCGCGCCACACTTACTACGCCGCCACTTGCCACGCACTCGTAAATCACATTTTATGCTGATTAGTTCGGGAAATAGGCAACAGCTTGGTGGCTAGACCAAGACCAAGACCAAGACCAAGACGTTACAGCTAATGTGGCAATAACGTCAATTGACAACGCAGACATTAAAAGCGAATGAAGCACGCAGCAAGTGGCAGCAAGCGCTTTAGTACCGCCGCCAGCAGCTCGAGCGCGCCGCCTCCTCAAAGTGCCAAATTACAGATATGGCAACAAATTCAAACATCCTGATGGAAACAGTTAAAAAAAACTGCGCGCACACATACATGCATGCGCTCAGACTCATATTCAAGTGCGTGTGTGTAATTGTGTGTGCGCCTGCCTGCCACAGCCAAACTTGCAACACTATACTCGCCTGTAAACGAGCACTCAGCGCGCACTCAACAGCTAGTAACATGCATGCCACAAGCATACTTACGTACTTACATTCATTCACGCACACATACATGCATGAATATTCGCATACATTTAAATGTTGCATACACTTGCGCGCGCCGTTTCGTACGTGATGATTACGTGTAATTAATTTACTGCGGCATCAGCGTAATTGAAATTATAATTACGGACTCGCCTGCAGTACATGATGTATATATGTATATATTTGTATATATACAATATATATAGTATAGAAATATACTTTTAATATTGTGGGCGTGCGCATGCAACATTAGGCAGCATTTGCGCCGTCGAAGCGACGACGTTCGGGCCAAAGATGCGCCTAAGTTCAATGAAAGTGGCAATATTACAAGTAAATTTAGGCTGCCACACAGGCCAAGAGACACTAATGTGTATATATATACATATATATAAACATGTGTATGTGTGTGTGACACGCTGCTTAGGCGAGCAGGTCTACCAAATTGATACTCACCACATTGCGGCACTTTCAATCACAGCTGGCTGGCAGGTGGAGGTCAGGGGACCACCAGCACGAGCGAACGTGGAGCGCAGGAGTCGTACAACACTAATGTGGCACGCACGCACACGGCAACAAACGCGCTGCGGCGCGCTGTGAAAACTTTAATATTTATGCGTTCGCCGGGTAGCGCAACACAAAAACAGCAACAAAAAATATTTTTGCGAACGATTTTTTATTTTTTTTTTTTGTATTTTTTCTTTATACACTGTTATTCATGTTATTATTGTTGTTGTTTCTTGGAGTAATTGTTGGTTTGTCAAAAAAGCACTTTGCTAGCACAAAGCACCTACGCGCCACAGCACACACGCGCTAACACACACACATGTGCACATACACTAAGGCGGAAAAAAATGGGGGAAAATGGAAGTTTGTGCAACAAGCCGGGGCAAGGTAATATATTTGCCTGCTAGCTGGCGGCAGGAGCCAACGCTGGCGCACGACAACAACTACACTAACACCAGTGCAACGCAAGCAATCACTTAAGCAAGTTAGACACCGTTATTTTTTGGTTGAATTTTTTCGTTATTTTTGTTGTTGTTATTATTATTTTTCCATTTCTGCCGGTGAGTACGAGTAGTGATGGCACTTAAATTGATACAACTCGGCAGCGGTCATTGAAGGCGCGCGTACAACCAAAGCGAACAAGCATGTATGTAGGAGTGTGTATGTGTACTTGTGTATATGTTTATGTGTGTACTTGCATGCTTTCGTTAATATACATATGTATCTTTGTAGGAGTTGTGTCAAAGTAAGCCCGGTTACTCGGTCCCCGTTACTCAGTCGGTCAGCGTACGCGAGGGACACAGACAACATCCGCTAGCTCACACACATACACATACAAACAGCGCGTATAAATGCGTACAACCTACCATTAAAGCGTCATACATATGCTGGCATAGTAATATATATTTATAATGTATTTACATATATGCCTAAGTGTGTGTGTGCGCCAACGAGGACATTCACGCACACACGCACATATTTGGTGACGTTGCTAATGGCAGGGTCGCTGACTTGCATTTATTAGGCTGACGACAGAGTTGTTGTATACCACAAGCGGGGCATGCAAATAAATACAACCGTAAATAATATAGAATACGCGCGCACAGATGGCCATCCAAGCGTATGTACATGCCACAAACGGCTTTCATTTGCAATGTGAAAAAATCTTTAATTGATTTTCTGCTTGCAAATTTTGAAATTAAGAATATTTAGTATTAATTTTTTTATAATTAAATT